GAGGAGGAGAGCGCCCGCCAAAATAAATTCCACACATGTCCCTGCATCTCCGCCCCCCCCCCCCCTCTCTCTCTCTCCCCTCTCTGCTGCGCTAAACCCGTGAGTGAAAAGTCGAACGCCGCCGCTGCTGGAGTTGCAAGTCCGCGGCTTTGTAGGACGCCTTGCTCCGGCTCTACTCCAGCAGCAGTACGACGACTGCAGTGCCAGACCGACTCGACTCCAGCTCCAGCGGCGCGGCGGTGAGACTCCAGTGAGCACCGCATCGCCCGGACCAGCGGCACTCGGGGTGGGATTTATGATTGGGAAAGCGCGCCGGGCGACCCGCACCCAGCCGAGCACAGCGGGAGGAACAAGTCTTATCCGCTCAAAGTAGCGGCGAGATCCAATTCCGTGATCAGCTCGAGGCGCACCTACACTACACGGCGGCCGCTCAGCACCAGTTGGGGCCAGTCAAGAGCTTTGCAGGCGGCGTTCATTTCTAGTATCTTGATGTGTCTCGTTGCAGAGGAATTTACCGAGCATTTTATGTTATGGGCAGAACTAAAATTTTAGCGTTTTAGTCTCATCAAAATTTTCTTCACATGGTAAAAACAGAGTTAGTTTTTGAAGAAAGATGGAAAAATTTGTTAAAAATTTCTTACAAAGCTGAGGGCATTTCCCAGATTTTGAGCGTACTCAAAATACAGAGAGTTATCCTCAAACTAAAGTTTTCCTTTTCCCCTAAAAAAAAATCAGAAACAGTTTTTACCGTGCCATTTACTTAATGTATTTGTTTTTATAACTTAAGTTGACACTTGATAATTGCTGCTAAGAAACACAATACGGCCTACACATAAATGAACAGGAGGACAAAGACGAGTCCTAGACAAACAACTGCTTGGCAAAACCACCCCACACAAGCGTATAATTAATTTGTAGGAAAACGTTGAAACGTTCCACATTGCTGCACACGAGTCGAAAAACAAAGACCTCGTAAGACTGTATATGACACTTGAGCTTTGCAGAGTAATTTCGCGTTTTCAGCGCCCATTCCAGATCCTGGAGCTGTTACGCTCTACGGCAGGCGGGCGGCTTAGCAATTCAACCCCATGTCGTTCGCTGTTCGCTGACGCAGTCGTGTCACACGAGTATAACAATAACAACAGAGTCAGCCCCCCGAAAAAATTGTCCTGCCAGAGACGCGTTCTAATCACGCGAATAATCATTCCGAAACAACCGAGTCCGCGTCGTACGTGTGGGCGACACGTAATACGAGACGCTGGTGCGGCATGGCACATCCGGTGGTAGCCGCGGTCGCGGCACGGCCAGCACAGCACAGGGAACACGGGGTTGTTATTATTTCCACGAGGCAGAGAGGAAGGGCGTGGCGTGGCGGGGCGGGGCGCGGCGGGGCCGAGCTGCGAGTCAGTTAGCCCCGCAATACATTACCACCATAACTCGCGGGGCAGCGCCACCGACGGCAGTGTGGCGTCGCGGCGACCGGACCAGAACGTGGTGAGGCGGGGCGTGGCGGGGCGTGGCGGGGCGTGGCGGGCCGTGGCGGGTAATTCAGACAAAGCGCGAGCTTCCTCCTCCCGCTCGCCCGCGTCCACATCGCGGTCATAGCGGAACACGGGACGCTACGACGACGCACCCCCAGAACGTCGTAGTGGGGCTGGCTCTCTTCTTACACTCTCCCTCTCTCTCTCCTAACTATTTCTCTCTTCCTCGCGGGCGAGCTGAAAGAAGTAAAACGGAGACAAGAGAATTCGCTTTAGCAGCCAGTTTCACCCCGCTTGCCATGCCACCCGCTGTCCCTGCTGCCTACAGGGCCTCGCCGCCGCGGGTCTCGCCTCGCACCCGTCACTTTTATGAGGACTTTGGGCGCGTGGCGCGTCGCGTCTCGTGCCCGCCCCGCCCC